ATAACGGCTCCCCTTAACACGGCTCAGACGGCCCATGCAGGCTATCCGAAGGGTCCTCGCAGACATGTAGCGCAGACCCCCCCACCAAAATCGAGGCAGGTAGTGAATATGAAATAGAGCACGAGCTGGCTGAATATGTAGTCAAGTTTCGAATTCAGGTCTGTGTTTCAGCAGTTATGGTTTGCTCACGTAGCTAGGGCCTGTTGGTCTCTGCACGTGACTCTTAGGGCTTGACTGCACTACTCACGAAATGTGCAAAATTAGAATGAATCTTCTGCAGAACGTGGAATAACACGCCACCATATGTTTTGTCTTTTGTGCATTTGGTGAGTAAAGGCCCTTAGGGCCACTGCACGTATTCCTAAGAAAAGAAAAACGAGAAAAGAAAAGAAAAGYGCAAAAACAGAGAAATGGTGACCCATAACCGAGATGCACAGACCTGAATTCGAATCCAGACTATATATTCTCTGGCCACCCTCAGGGAGTACAAGGTTGAAGTGTATCTCTGCATGACGTTGGGTCCTAGCTAATATGCTCTAGGGATCCTTTCAAAAAGAGGCTGAACACAACGAGGACATTTTTGTTTTTCTGTTTTTTTAATGCGCCGCATCACTTGTGTGTGCGTGCATGTGCACGCGGCACCCCGCGCATGAGCTGCAAGTATGATTATCGAACACATCTCTCTCTCTCTCTCTCTCTCTCTCTCTCTCTCTCTCTCTCTCTCTCTCTCTCACACACACACACACACACACACACACACAAAGGGGGTCCGAAAGGGGGTCTGAAATCCCCCGGCAGGGGAGTGCGCTGGGGGGGCCCGGCCCCCAACCGGGTGCCCTGCCCGGCCAGGCCGCCCGGGACCTCCCCCGGGCCCCTGCCTGTCACCCGGGCGGCCCGGATCCCCACTCAGTTTTTTTGCATCTTTTGCTTTTTTGAAGTTTTTTCCCTTTGGATAATTAGGCTGTGAGCATTACTGACAGCAAAATTTACACCAATTGTCCCATGGTAGGTTTATCATTGTAGCCCAGTAATCGATCCGCAGCCAAACGGAACCGAGCCAGTGACCTCGGCTGAAGCAGCTGGATGACTTTACCATTGCAACGGTGACCCGGTGTTGAAAACTGAAGCCATACCGGTCGTGACATTCAGCACATTGGTGGAGCCTTTTCCAAGGGGAGCAATTCTTGAAATCTAATTTTGCTATAAGGATATAAGTAATGTCCAGAGCAGAAGAGCCTCATCACCCAAAAAGAAATAAAAGGCAAAAGAACTTTAAAGAGGACCCCAAAAAGCTTTAATTCACTTTCTGAAAGTTCTTGAACGTTTTTTCCACCTTCCATGTGAAGCCTTGCATGAGGGAGCGGAAGGAACCGGTCTGACACTCCCCAGAATGGAAAGGACCCAGGACCATAAGGACCTGTTTTATCAGAAAAAAAGAAAAGAAAAAAAAGAAAGAAAAAGAGGATAGTATTTACTGTATTTGTAGTACTCAGTACCTTTCAATTTCCTCAGGGACGTGTTATTGGTGAATGTTTCCTGCAAAGAAAATCCTGGTATACTTCAGACTTTATGACTTCTTCTTCTTCTTCTACTTTTTTTTGTAGCTCCTGTAGTTTTTTTTTTTTTTTTAACTTCTGCACCTTCCGACTCCCGCAGGGATTCGTTAAGTTGTCGGCTTTGCATTTATGGCATGTCCTGGAAATGCAGCAGAATCTGTGCAGTGGAGCCTGTGCAGGAGGAGGGGGGGGGGAACAAAAAGAGAAGAGCCACTGCAGGATACACAGGATTCTTCTTAATGTGCAAACTCGTTCGACTTTCCCCGGAGCCTGTGGAGGAGGTGGGGGGGGGAAACAAAAAGCGAAGAGCCACTGCAGGACACACAGGATTCTTCTTAATGTGCAAACTCGTTCGACCTTCCCCTTCCCGCACCTCACATACACCGCACCGGACCCTCAATGCAACTTTTGCTTCTTCTTCTTGAAGTGTGTGTGTGTGGGGGGGGGGGGGTTTCACCCGGCAAGTCAAAATTGAATACAACATGATACTTGCAAGCGGATGCCGTCCGGGCGGTTCCGCACGTGCGGCGGACCGCCGGACCGGACCCGCGCGGCGCACGAATGTGCGCCCGGCGACCAGTTACCCCCCACCCCTCCCCCAAAAAAGAAAAAAACGGTCTAGGTCCGTCCGGTCCGGGGGGAGGGTGCCGCACGCGGCAAAGCGGACTGGACTGGACACTCGTCTGGTCTGTCCGCTTGCAAGTATCATACACGCACATGCTTCCTTCCGTATGGCCGAAGGACCCCTGATCAGCATTAATTGCTCCCCTGGAGGAGGATTGACTGTCAGCTTGCGCTGCCCACTTGTTCCTCTCAGGCTCCACCCAGGGCCTGTCAGATAGATCGAAGCAAAATGGAAGGATCCGCTACCAGTTGTATATCGAAGTCTATCTCCTCTCCCGCTCGTCCGGCTGTCTCTGCTGTTGCTCATCAGGATATTGCCTCTTCCTGGGGTTCGTGGCTTGACATAACCTCATGACTGGGCCTGGTACCACTTTTCCCATCTCAGCCTGTTATCTGTGAGGGTGGCGATCTTGCCCTTTAGAAGCCAGTCTCTCTGGAATGTGCCTCTCTTGCTTGCTTGTCTTTCTGGTCTGTGTTTCATAGGAGCCTATCTTTCCCCATCTGCTTCGGATTTCAGTCTCCACCATACTCAGCAGTAGAGACCACATTTCTTCTCGTGCCACCCCTGCTCCCTCGATTGTCAGTGTGCATCTGCGTTTCCATATGACCCAGAGTGCCAATTTCCTGAGCAGATTAAACCAGACTTCCCTGCTGCCCTTGATGTTACTGGGGGTGTTAGCGAAGAGTAGAGGGTACTTAGAGGGGGGATGTTGGGAGGTGGTGCTGCGAAGAGGATCGCCCAAAGTCCCAAAACCTTGTTCCAGATCCAGGTCGCTTCAGGACAGAAGAGAAGGCAGTGGGGTATGTCTTCGGGTGCGTCGTTGTTACACAGGATGCAGGATGCTGAGCTGTCTGGGTCTGAGTATTTCCTTCTCTCGTGAAGCCATTGGTGACAGGGAGGGTTCTTTGAGCTATGAGTCACTGCATCCTACGGATTCTGATCGGTCCGATGAGAAGATATTTGGTCCATGGGATGGTGAGGGGGGTCTCGGGGTCTAAGTGGAGGATGTTTTTCCACTTCATCACCAGCCTGGGGTTGGGATCTGTGGTCTGCAGTCCAAGGTCGTATCGTATTCTGTTATCGTTCTTGACTTCCCGGTGGTGCCCTGTTCCCACATCCACTCCTTTGGGTCGAATTCGAGCTCCTCAATTCTGAGTTCTGGTTGGAAGAAGATCCACGGCTTGCTGTGAGAGACTCTAACCTTCCTAAGCAAGAAGGTCTCTGATTCGTTCTGTGGTGTTTTGTTTTGAGCTTCTACTTCGTATAGACTGCGATTGGTGGTGGGATAGGATATGAAGTTGGCATGGTAGCTGGTTGGATCTGCTCTAGATACAAAGCAGTAGGCTCTTGTTGGAGGTGTCTGGGAGATGGGCAGGCCCCAATCTCCTGGTTTCCACGTGTATTTCTCGCTTAGGAGGGCCGTCCACAGGGGAGGGATGCTTTGGTGGTGCTACGTTGGTGCTCATGGAGTGACAACCTTTCAGGGGGATCAGGAGTTCTTGGTCGGATAGTCAGTCCAGTCGCTCAGACCATAGATGTTTGACCTGCCATACTCCTCTCTCTACCCAGGATAGCCATCTGCGATCTTTTGCCCGGAGGGTCCAGGGCTTTCCCTCTGTGTCTTTGATCCAAGGATTGCAGAACAGGGAACTGTCTGAGGACTTCCTCTTTGTTGCTCGGTGCACCTCTTTTGTTTGGCATCAATCCTCACCAGGCCTTCACAATCGGTGTCCAATAGGTGTTGGGCATGGGATTGGGCTGAGTAGACAGTGCTTGCTGGGTTTTCCTCGTTGATATCTTTGATTTGAGCGACCAGTCTTTTGGCCATGATCCAAAACAGGCCGCTCATGTTAGGTGGAGATGTTACAGGTGCCACGTTCCTGACACTGTCTAAGGCCAGTTTAATCCAGGGAAGCGATTGTTTGGTTAGGATCTTGACTATCCAGTTCATCTGAAGGGCGATCGGTTCCTGTTTTGGGTCAATGATGCCAGACCCCCTTCGTGCGGTTTCCTGATGACGATTTGCTAGGCCACTTTGTTTATGCACGAGGTTCTGTTTGGGTCTCCAGTCCACAGGAAGCATCTGGCCCTAGCCTTCAGGCTCCTCAGGTCGTCATCGGGCGGGGACCATATGGATGCCATGTACCATAGCGTGGAGAATATTGCCGTGTTGATGTGCCCAGCACAGAAGCCGGAGCCCTTTTGCAAGGAGCTAAGCGAGTTATTGCTCTGGCTATTAAATTATCCCCCATCCCTTGCCAGATGCCGTCTTTGTTGATCGTGATGCCCAGATACCGGAGTGCTTGGTCGCCCGTGGACCATGAAATTGGGATGGATAGGTCCGGGGGTTGGGGGAAGGTGTCTTCTGCTAACCACCAGCCTTCTGTTTTAGACCAGTTCACCTTCATTTCTGATGCGAGTTGGAAGGCTTCCATAGCTCTGACCAGGGCTTGAAAGGAGTTGTTTGCGCGGATGAGAACTGTGCGGTCATCAGCGAACATCAGCGCAGTGGGTAGGGCGAAGTCGGACTGTAGTTCTGTTTGGTGAGACGGTCTATGGAGGGGTCTTTGCGGAGGAAGGAGGCTATGGCTTCCATGATGAACAGGAAAATTGGGGGCGCCAATGGGTTGCCTTGGCGAACAGATCTCGATATTGGGTAAGTGTCTGACAGTATTCTGTTTCTCTGGACGCTGCCCGTGGCGTCTCCGTAAAGCACTCTTACCCATTCTCTAAAGTTTGGGCCGACTCCCATCTTCTCCATACAACCATGGAGGAAATCCCAGTTGATTTGATGATCACAGGCCTTTCAAAGTCAAAAGACAGGATTGCAGGCTATATTCCTTTTTCTATGATCTTCTTCGCTGCCTCATTCAGGGCCATCACATTGTCTAGTATGTACCTTCCCGGAATGAAACCTGCTTGGTCAATGTGAAAAGTTGAAAGCATTTGTCCGTGAGTTTTATGATCCTGTTGGCTAGTGTTTTTGCTAGGATTTTGCAGGGGTTTGTGAGAAGTGAGATCGGTCTGTAGTTTTTTAGATCTTCTTTTTCCCCTTTCTTGTGGATTAGAGAGACCACACTAGTGCTTAAAATTTGACCCAGAATGCCCTTTTCTTGCTGTCATTGATGAAGTTGAGGACGTCGTTCCCCATTATCGGCCAGAAGTGGAGCCAGAACTCTTTGGATAGGTTGTCGATTCCTGGTGCCTTGTCGTTACCCATTTGGGATAAGGCTGCATGAAGTTCCCCCAAGGTAATTGGTTTGTCCAAGTCCTCAGCTTGCTCCTGCGAGATTGTCCTTTCTAGATACGACATCATATGTTGGCGGGCGGTGATGTTCCCTGCGGGAGGGAGGGTAGTGTCTTGGACTCGTAGAGGTCAGCATAGAAGGATCTCGCGATCCTTACCATGTCTGTGCCGGCTGATTTTGTCTTACCCTGGTCCACTGGATCTTTCAGCCTCTCGATCATGTTGTTTCTGGCATTGGCCTTGATTTTTAAGAAGAAGAACTTTGTCATGGATTCATTAAGGCTGTAGTCTGTCCCTCTCGCATGTAGTTGTAAGCCCCTAAATTCCAATCTCCTCCATTCATTCAACTCCTCCTTTGTGGATATGAGTAGGTCCTGATAAAAGTCGTTCATGGGATCTAAGTCGAGGTTGGCTTCCGCGATAGACATCGCAATTTGAAGTTCCTCCTTTCTGATTTTACGTTCTGCTGCTATGCTTCTCGACTCAGACGAAGAAGTCTGGGACAGGTCCGCATAGCTGTCTGCGAACCATTGGTGTCGGTTATTTCCATGGTAACCGCCCGGACGTCCGGACCGGGTTCCAGACAGTCCGGTGTCCGGTCCCCATGTCTGGATGGAGGCCCCTGGGACAAAAAAAAAATAAAAAAATTGGGCGGCCCAGGACGTTTGTCGGGTCCTAGCTGCCCCTCGAAAAATAACGGGGTGATTTTTAAGTGTCCTTTCACCCCAGCGGGCATGGCCTAGAGGTCCAGATACAAGACACTGCAGGTTTTTGGGGTGGCGGGTTTCGCACAGGCCCGAGCAATTTCAAAGCGGCCGTTTCGACGTGGCGCCCGCCGCAACTGTCCGTTAGGGGGGCGGGGAGAGAGAGAGAGAGAGAGAGAGAGAGAGAGAGAGAGAGAGAGAGAGAGAGAGAGAGAGAGAGAGAGAGAGAAAGAGAGAGCACTGACAGTGCTGCCAGTCTGAAGACTCTGACGTTCTGAATTGAACTGCAAAGTTCGAACTTATATCTAGGGCGAAATCCCGGGCGCCCCCCCCCTCTCTACTCATTTTCCTGATCAGAAGAGAAAAACGAAACCACTATAGCCTGCTTCTCCCATTTACCCCTTCCCTCTCCTCCCC